TGTGTGTGTGTGTGTGTGTGTGTGTGTATGTGTGTGTCATCTAACATAAGTTTTTAAACTTTAAGAAGAATTTTTTGAAGATAATGAGCAATTCCAGAAAGAATAATCGCATTGGGAAGTGAAAGATGCGTGATCGTTGACACGAAATACTTCGAGTATTTTAATAAGTTGAAGTAATGATGAACAGGAAGTGAATGAATGAATGAATGAATTACTTCTGAAATGAAATTTGTTGAAAGATTCATTCATTCTCAACTTTTCTTCCGTATTTTAATATACACTATAAAGTATCGTGTCAGAAAAGTAAATCAATAGATTGAAATACCAAAATGATCATTATTATATTTTATTCTGTAACCATTAGCACGTAAAAAAGTAAAGTTTGTTAAGTAAGGATGTGAAAATTTACAAGTGGAACAGTATGATGGAGACTTTCATTTCATTTCAATCTTTTGGACTATTTGTCCATCTCTGCTCCATCTAAATGGAAGGTTATCAAATTAACATGGCCAAAGAAGAGATAAAGAAGAAGAAAATATGCTCTCTATTCAAATGTTATCATCAGCTTTGGATAGCTGGTCAATAATCATCGTTTGTTTATCATTAGTTTATCAATTATAGCCAATCAAAGAGATAAGGCTTCTTGGAAATATGAACCAATTTTCCACTCTTTGCTTACAAGTTTTGTTTATCTATAAATGTAAACATTTCCAGATATTACTGGAATTCATTTATTGGAAGAAGAGAAACGAACTTTTACTTTTTGTAATGAGGAAATTCCTCCAGTGATTTTAAAACAGTCAATTAGCTGTTAATTATTTATAACATATTCTCAAAAATTCTTAATTTATGAAATTTACAGGCTATTTAAATTTAGTATGCATTTTGTAACCTTTCATTTTGCACTTACATCATTTACTAACTTTAGCAACAATTTCATGTCATTCTTTAGATAAATGACATTTTCCGCATCTTTAATGGCAAAGTTTCTTTTGAAGAGATTGCGTGAGAGATGGTGGCATACTTCAAAAGTATGAATCATAAAAATGAAAAGGAACCATCAAAGAAATGGTATGCAAGAGAATCTGTAATTGCATTTATGCTAAAAGGGAAATAATTCCAGTAGTTACAAGAAACAGAGAGAAAGAGAGAGAAAGAGAGAGAGAAAGCGAGGTAAATCTGAAGTACATGAAGGATAAAAAGATATATTATTGTGGAAATGATACAAACAAAAAACCATAATCTTGCCTAACAATCTGATAATAAAATTCTAGCATATATGCACATCGCTGTTGGTCATTGTTGTGAACTTTTTCATCATTCAAAAAAGGAATTTCGATTCTTTCAAATTTAAATTATTTATTTAAATTTGTTCATATGAAAAGATTGCATTTAAAAAAAAATTTGGAATGAAATTACGCGAAAAGCCGGAAAAAATGAGAAAAAGGAAATGATAAACGGATGAGATATTCATCCTTACGATGATGAGGGTATCCGATAAAATATTGCCGATATTAGCTATTTTATGGATTGATATCAACCAGAAATACATCAATACTTTATTGCTTCTTTCTTTTTTAAGCAATTCATTTTAATATTAAATGAATTTTTTTATTTTCGTTACAGCGATCCTTTGGTATTGCAATGTTTGACTGAAATATTAGAAAAAAAAGCAAATAAAATACAAATATGGCAATTTCTTTTTTCTTTGAAATAAAGCAAAAAAAGCAACTGTAAATGGCAATAGTTACTTCACATTTTTTTGTTTTTAATTTCCGATTACCGCAATGTATCGTTAAATAATTGATTGAATTATCGATCAATTCTAATCATTATCAGACTGATTAGATTTAATTGCCTTAAAATGTCTATAATATTTTTAAAATTGTAAATGAAACTTTCGGTGAATAAATACATCGATTACAATCATTCATACAACAATATCACAATAATAATTTAATTCCATTTATATCTACCATAACGAATATATCCAACATATGGATGGACTACATGGCTCAAATTTAATATCAATTAAATGCATTTCTCTAAAATTTACTTATTTACTTTCACAAAATCTCTTCTCTCTCATCTTTTTTTTCATTTCCTTGTCTCTCAAAGATGAAAATGCCCATACGACGATCGATCTTCATTCATTCATTTATTTGCGACATTTGAACGACGATTTTTAATCCCTCTTCAATTTCCACATCTTATCCTGCTGATCTTTGATATGCATTCCATCATTGACGAATGATTTGAGGTTTTTGATGAGAATTAAGAAAGAAATGCTTAGACTGCTGGTAAAATAACCGAAACAATAGGATTAAGCTAACAAAGCCATAAAAAGTTATTTCAAATACTAATACAAAAAAAAATGTTTTCATTTCATTATTCCATTAAAACGATATGCCAGCCGTAGACGCCTCTTTTTTCTTTAAATTTCGATGTTGAAATCATCAAAATGAAATAGAATCAAATTTAAATTTTTGTTACAAGAAGAAAAAAGGAAACGATAAAAATTTTGTTTGAAAATATTATGAACTAAATTCTCCCACTTCATTTAGGTTTTTATTGATGGGGAAAATCACACAACAGAATTGGAAATGTTTAAAAATATTAATTAACTGGATTAATTAGCGCTGCAGGAAATGTTTAATTGGAACCACGTGGAGGAAATCTTTAACTTTAACCTTCGATAAAATAACAAATAAATACCAATTTAAGTGGAAAAATTCGTTATTCCCTTTACTGAATCGCGGATGATATTTGCATCAAATTTGAAATTTCATTCATTCCTCGTTATTGTCGCCTTATTTCATATATTAAAAAAGAAGTTTGAATATTGATAAATCATTTTTTTCTTGGGCGGTTACAAATGGCGCAATAATAAATGAGCAAATTGGTCGGTGCGTATGTTTAAAAAGGATGAAAACAAAGACGATTGCTCATTTGATGAGCATTTTGATGACCATCACAAAACAGTGTTTAGGAAAGAACAACCTGGAAAAAGATGAAAGGAATGAGCCGCTACATTACTGATCTATTAGTTACGATTTCACATTTCATGGTACTTATGGATCGAAAAATGGGCTAATAACTTTCTTTTAGATTTCAAAGATATGACTTGAAGGAATAATATCTTCAATGAAAAATTATCAATATTTATTCCAGTATCAATCGTAACTTATAAATAATAATTTAATTAATGATTATTCAATTAAAAAAGAGTTTTGGTAATACAGAATACGCGGAATAAAGTGTTATGGAACTCATGCAAAATAATAAAAAATGGAAATAAACAGATGGGAAATTTTCTAAGGATTATATTGAAATATTTTCATTGATTTTTAACATTAAAAATTTTCCTATTGATAGCCGAAAAGAAGAAAATCAATCAATGATCCTTAGAAACTGACAGTTTATTAAGTTCGGTATGGTTTTTTTTAAAAACTATTTTCACATTGTCTTTTGGAATGTCGTCATTGATTTTTAACATTAGAAATTTTTTTCTTCAATAATTTTTTCAGTTAAAAGAAAAAAAATTGAGCATTAATGTTTAAAAACTTTAATTTCGAGACGATTTCTTTTCTTTCCTTTTTCAAATCCCTCAAAAGCCATTTGAAACAAAAGCTTTCCAATCATTGCCAATATTTTATTGTTAACAAACGATGCATAAAAGATGGAAAGGCTGGGAATATTCGCACATTTTTAGTTTTATTAATTTCTACCTCACAAAAAGCTCACAAGTAAACATTGATAAGAGGATTAGATGTACACTTCATCAGCACTTTTATCGACCCTCGCTAAGTAATACTTTGACCTATGTCTCCCAACATTTCCATTTTGTTTCTTCTTCTTCTTCTTCTTTTGGCGATAAATAACCACTTGTAAATGAAAGAAATGAAAGTTTCCATTTTTCCACTACTTATTTATCGTTTAAAATTGATTCGAGATTTGGAACTTTTAATTAACAATTGTTAGCAAATGATATTAATTTTAACATGAAAATGATCGAATTAATCCAATAAATTAAATTGGCAATTATCATTAAATCATAAAATGAACAATTTTATTCATTAACGATATCGATATCCTAATATTTTTATTTTTTTCTCCTTAACTAACCGA